ATAAAAGCTTAGGATTTCAGCTTTGATGGATTCTTGGTCCTCAATGATTTCCTCCCCTATCTTTAGTCTATCAATGTAATTGTTCCTTCTGTGGGAGTTAGCCATTTTCTGAAAGAACTTAGTGTTCCTGTCACCTTCTTTAAGCCATAAACATTTTGATTTTTGTCTCCATAAGATGTCCTCAACCCTTGCTATTTGCTGTAATTCCACTCTTATCTGCATTAGTTTCTCCTTTTCAACTTGTGCTTGGGTCCTGCTCTCTGTTGTTTGCTCCAGCATTTCTAACTCCTCCAATAGTTTAGTCTTTTGTGTTTCCAGTCTGCCAAACTCCTCTCTGTTCCAATTAGTGATGTCTGCCTTGAGCCTTCTCAGTTTCTGCACAAGTATAAAATCTGGGCTGCCTCGTATCACATAGCTCTGCCACCAATTTTTAACCTTATCAATGAAACCCTCCACCTGTAGCCACATATTCTCGAATTTGAAATAAGAGGGGTGGCTTCCCAGTCTCCACAATCAAGGAGTAGGGGTCTGTGATCAGAGATCACTCTTGGGAGGGCTAGCTGCTTGATAGCTTTGAAACTGTCGCACCATTCAGGGGAAATCAAGAACCTGTCTATTCTTGAAGCTTGCAATGAGTCTTCACCTCTGAACCAGGTATAATAAGCTCCTTGTAGAGGCAAGTCTATAATACCCAGGTCTTGAATGATGTCTGAGAAGGATACCATGGCCCTGGACCTTCTAACACAATTGTATCTTTCACTTTCATACCTACAAACGTTGAAATCACCCCCTATAACCCATTGCTCATTCCAGATAGATCTGATTGCTGCAAGTTCTAGCCATAGTTCCTCTCTTTCAGGATTTGTGTGTGGCCCATACACTCCTGATCTGAATTGTTCATGCAGACTTTCTAGCATGCATGATAGAGTGTAGTAACCTTGATGAGTATCCCTGTTTGCCATTGTCTTTTGTCCCATAGGATGATAATTCCTCCACTGTTACCTACAGATTTCAACTCTGCCCACTCAACCCAACGATTACCCCATATTTGCCTAATCCAGGATACTGGGAATTCTTCAATTTTTGTTTCTTGTAAACAAACAATATCCGGCTTCCACTTCTTAATCAGTGATGAAGTTGTAGTCCTTTTATCAGCTTCATTCAATCCCCGCACGTTCCAGCTTAATATTTTTACTTTCATCCAGAAAAAGCTTTGTAAAACCTGTCCCTATCCCCTTTCCTTTTACCCTTGTAATTTAGGCCCCATTTCAGTCTTTCCAGTTCTTGTTTCTTGCTTTTTCTTACCCCTTCTCTTTTTCCTGCCTGGTGACTTTTGTTTCTGTAGCTGCATTTGCCGCTTTTGATCCATTCGGAGGATGAT